CCGCTTACGAGAGCTTAAAAACAAAGAAGAAGTCTAAGTCGTAATCCCTGAAAGTGTCCGCGGCCGCTTACGAGAATGTCCGCTCACGAGAATGTAAAAATACAGAGTTTGTATGGGAGTTAAAACGGAGTTTCAAACAAGGCGGCCATTACTAGAGCTCACGACGAAGGGCTAACGTTCGAAACGTCAGCTTTTGTAATCGTTACGGTGGCCAATTTACCATTTCAACTTTGTTGACATATCCAAATTATTTCGTTACTCCCACCGACGCAGCCCCAAACAGTTTCTTTCGAAACTATCAGCCTTTATTCGTGTGTAGAGCTGTCCGCTTACGAGAGTGTCCGTTAAGAGAGCTTCGACTGTAGCGCCAATTCAAAATAGTGGCCTGCTTAGCCTCAGCTGACTGGCTGTTCCATGTTACTGCGCCCCTATAAGTAAAGCTTCCTTTAGGGCCTCAGTGTTCGGTCGCGAAATAAAGAGGTTATGTTGCGCATCTCTAAGATTATACCTGTGAATAGCATTAATGGTTGATTGGTATATGGGTACAAGATTATTTTAAGTTTTAAACATTAAAGATTTCAGTTGCTTTTCACGTCTGTCAGCGAGGCTATCCCAATAAGGGCATGAAGAATCGGGGCAGAGCTGGCATCCCAGTTAGACTCAGTAATTATGCGTGCAGCCATGTTTTGAAGTTTCTCTAATTTTTGGGAAAGACCATTACCAATACAGCCCTAAACAGCACTGCAATAATCGAGATGCGGAAGAATCAATGATTTGTAAATAGTAACAAGGGTACTCTAGGGACCTATCGGTCTTAGCCTCCTCAGGGCAGCTAGTACTTTTGCAACTTTACCGATGACTTCGGAGATGTGAGCCTCCCTCGAGAGTGTTTTATCAACCTGAACGCCTAAGTATTTGTAACTATTGACTCTCTCAATTGAATGCCCATCAAGAGAAATGTATGGATCGCTAAGGAGTAAACAAAGAGATTTTGTGCCTCGTCCCTGTAAACAGACATTAAGACTTAGACGGTTAGAATCGAACCATTGCTTCAGATGCCCAAATTATGAGTCAGGGCTGAAAACAACTCATTAGGGTCTTTGGAGGCAAATGTGAGATTAGTGTCATCAGTGTACATTCTCACGTCCGATCGGAGGCTACAGTTAGGGAGATCATTAAAGTATAAAAGAAAAAGTAGGAGGCCAAGAATTGAACCTTGAGGCACCCCACAACATATGAAACTAGTTTCAGAATTTACATTGTTTATAACCGTAAGCTGGGTTCTATCTGAGAGGTATTCTCGGAAAAGATTGAGACTAACACCTTTAACCCCATACAGCTCCAATTTTGACCGAAGGATCTTATGATCCATAGTATCAAAAGCCTTCTTTAAGTCAATAAACAGAATGGCATTTGTCAATCCGTTGTCGATATTGAGATACCAGTTGTCTGTAATGTCAATGAGAGCTGTAAGGGTAGAATGCATAGGTCTAAAGCCAGACTGATATTTCGAAAGTAGCCTATTATCATTTAAATATGAATAAACAGAAAGCACAGAAATTGGCCTGTTGTTGGCTGGGTGAACTTTCGAGCCAGTTTTGAAAATTGGAGTTACTCTACCACTCGACCAGTCTTTAGGAATAATTCCCTTAGAAATAACAAATCCCATGCAACAGTAGGGTTATCAATCTGTTCAATGTTGTCCCACGGGACAATCGTTATGTCATTGACAAAATTATCAGGCATAAAATTTTCATATTGCCTCGATTCGATGATTCGCGGGATCGAGCTAGGGCATGTTAACTTACGAGAGACAGATCAAACTATGGTCGCTACAATCAATAGGAGATACACATGATGTAGCAAATTTGAGAGGCTCCTTGGTAAGAAATAAGTCAGTAAGTGATTTAGTACTTGAAGTGACACGCATCCTTGATCAATTGAGTATATTGAAACAACTCACAGAGATCAATTAGCTGACTAGTTTCATTAGCAGGCGGAACAGCCATCACGTCGCAGTTGATGTCACCTAGTATATTTGATTCAATATTTTCAGCTTCAATCTTTGCCAAAAGGACCTCGAACTTACCAAAGAGCTCAATTGGTGAATTCGGAGGTCTATACCAATTAGAGATAAGAAATGGCTTGGCTCTGTGTTTTTGGCCATACACTCACTGTTATGTACTCAAACAATTGTTCACGTCCACTTCGGTGAATAACTGTTAATTATATCACTATCCCTAAAGAGGAAGAGAAGTTCTTATTATAATATCGGCCTATATAGAGTTGTTTGTGCTGTGATGCCTGTATTGTAATATTATTTGTTTATCTATATGTAAGGTTTACCTATAGCTAAGGTTGGATAGAGGCGGGAACTTGTTGGGTTTTTTTAGAAAAGGGAGAGTGTGCAAGACAAAAAAATAACACAATTCCGTTTATGCGTTTTATTCATCACAACTAAACTACGTGCTTCCACACCCTTCCCTAATATAAAAGAAAATTGAACCTGATTGAACATGGATATCTTTCTAAAGAGTAGTTGTCATGGTAACAATGTAACATATTCACTACGGGAGTTACTCTTTTCCCTCTGCATACATGAAGCACTTCTTAATACGAACAAAGCAACACATTTCACCAGCACAAGTTGGAGAATTTTTTCTGCAGATGTGAAGTAACAAAAAGCAGCCTTTCTACAGGGGAAACAAACGCAAATGTGATTAGTAAATGAGAGCCAAAAAAAAGCATTACAAGGCAAAAAGGGTTGTATCTAAGTAAGTATAAAGTGGATCGGCAGGGGTTAGATAGCAGGTCAGGCCTGAAATATATCACTATCGGCGCCACATTTCTTAAAATCATTGGAACAGTCTTAAATGGAAAGTAATTTCCACCCCCCGACGTAAATAAAGCGAGAGTGGGTAAAAAGCAAAATAGAAAAGGGGAAAAAGTAATCTAACTTAACAAAGATCCTCGGCATTTTTCTGCAAAGCAAAGTTATCATGCAGTTGGAATGATCTTCCTCTAAAGTAATCTACGTCTACATGCATAATATTTTGAGTCAGTTTTTCATAAGTTATTCGCAAATATGTGTTTTACGTCAAAAAGTGAATATTTGTAGAATTGCAAGCCAAGCTTACGCCTTGAACGGCAATGACTAAAAATGTATCACAAAAAAAGTTTTTTTCAAATTAACTTTGTGTTCAGATAAAGTTGCCCAAGTTTTTTAAGTGAAAGTACAGATTGCTCAATTGGAAGGTTTCGCGGAGTCACAATCTGCGTTAACTCTGAAACCCTTAAGACCTGATTGTCGATTCTCCCCTCTGGCTGCTACACATTTCTTTGTGAATTGGTTATGAGAATTTCGTGTTAGATCAAGATAACAACTTCTACCTGAAAATGCCGGTATGATTATCATAGAGAGAGGTTACATGTTCATCACTTCTGGATGTGAAAGGATTATAGCTGTGACCTTCGTGTGATACAGAGTTGCTTTACCTGTAATGGGGAAAGCTGAGGCAACGGAGTGGTATGGTCTTTGATACAACATTCAAAAAACTTGTCGATGCAACCGAGCTTATCACATACGTTTTGACCTGCCTTCTTCCAGCAGCCTTTTGCGTAAAGCCCGCATGCTATCTGCAACAAGTAACAACAAAATGCTCCTTAAACATGCATTTCATAACCATTTTCCGAAGGAAGGCGATTGCGTTTTGCTGACGCGGATTTCTTAGGACGAAGTCGAGAAAATAATTTATCAAAACCGATATTTGTATTGCTCAGGGCCAGGATAGTCTAATAACAAGAGTTTAAACTACCTAATCTAATTGCCAAATCGGCAGAGTTAAAAATTGTCATGTGCGCACAAGCAAAATGATCGACTTTTCGCAAAATTTAATTAATCTGAGAACAAAATACGAGAGAGGAAGCCATAAGATGTGTTGCTTCAACTTACGATAGGTGGCGGAGATCCCTCGAGTTTGACGGGTTTGGATGGTTCTGTAGAGTAGGTGGCATTGTAATCATTAAACTCCAAGGTGTTTTCTGGTAATCCAAAGTCCCTCACAACCTGTATCATCCTTTCATCATGACGCTCATCCAGGAATTTGAACACAACCTTGTGAAAGGGCATCTCCAAGGCCGACACATGCCCATACGCGGCAAAGGCACCGAGAAGCAAGAGAGCTGCGACAATCTTCATTTTGGCTCCAAGATGTGTGCACTTGACACTGTATCTTTGGAAAAACGAACGTGCCTTATATAGAATCCCTCACACGTCACGTAATTTGAGCGTTTTCAGAGACAAAAGCCGATGCCATTTTGGTCATTGGATAACACAGCTTTGTTTATCCAGTGGTTACCTCGTTAGGCATACTGTTAAGCTCATTAAATGTACGTCGGGCGAAAAAGATCCCGCTTGACTGTGGCATTTCTTTAGATTTTTAAGAGAATACAAAAGGAAAAAAAAAACATTACTCTTGTCAATTAAAATAATTTTTTTTTTAAACGGAAGAGGTCCTCGATGACGCTCATTGTTATGGAAATACGTTTTGAAAGTTGAAAAATAGCCCGCTCTTTTCCTTTCTGCAAAATCAGTTGGCTTTGACCTACAACACTTACTTGTCGATGACACGGTGAAGAAATCTTGGTGAAGTTTTGAGTGTCTTTGTTTCAGTCACAGTTGAAGAGCAGGGGTTTCAACAGAAGCCAGCTGTTGAGCCTTCAAGTAGGTTTTCGTGTTTGGGGTTCGCCTCACGGCCCCTTTTCCGGGTACACCCACCTATTTCACCAATGGTAGCCGTTTATAGAAAAAAGATATTGAAACCTATCAGAGGAGACATCTCGACGAAGTTAAGCTGGTGTTTAAACGTACCATGCGAGGAACTTTGTTACCTTAAGAAAGCTCTAAATGATACATGGATCGATAGTAACATAACTTTTAGGTTCTTTCGTTGGATCCTGGTATCAGGAAATATTTACTTGGCCTTCAAAAAGTTGCAATTATTTCTTTTACCTATAAGATTTTCACAAGAACACTACAATCTCTACAGCTGCGGATGTCCACTGACTTTGAATAAAAAAACACAACTGGAGTTATACTTTTAACACCAGAGCGTTAAGAAGCTGAGAGATATTTCAAAACAAGTAACTTTTAGAGGCTTTAAATTGAGTAGTAACACGAAATCTTGTCGTTGCAAATATCAGATTTCAGACGAGTAGTACAAAAAAAAAACCCCAAAAGTCTGATGATAGGAAGCTATGGACGTCCAGACACGCCACTGCTCTAAGAAAAAACCCGTACTTTCAGTTTTATGTGCCTTTAACTCGAAAACCGAGTTCAGTGATTTCCATTCTTTCCTATTAAATCGTGATCAGAGCACCTTCATTTCCTGATGATGCCGTAGATCGGCGAAAGGTTGGAATAAAAAGGAATAAAGTTTAGCTCAAGGCCTCAATAGAATCGTCCGTTTAATCGACAAACTACTCAAGGACAACTTCAAAAGTTTACACATCTTTCTGTAACGCCTTCTTAGAAAGTATGAATTGTGGGTTCAGAGCTATCTTAAAATATCGATGAGTTAAACTAGCTCTGAACTTACACCACAGATTTCCCTTTTTTTAACTTTGCTGAAAGATAAACCTTGACATCTCGGTTACATGTTACAGCGGTATTGGATGTCTCGGGTGAAGTTCGCGGATCTAAAATTTGTAAGACTTGTTTTGTTGCTGATTATGTCGTAATTACCAGTTGTGGCGCAAAAGAAGAGTACATCAATATTCGTGGAAACCGTGGCAAGGAAATCTTGGTAAATTCAATTGCTAATTGTTGTCTTGTTTAACCACAGCAAACCGCCCTAACGAGACAGCTGAGTTACCGAAATGTTACATTGAGGACCGTCTTTACACCTCAGCAATTCTGTAATTTTTGGTGCAGTGTTCGGAGAAAAGCTACTATGTCTAGCTAGTAAAATTGGTAAGAAAATTTTAGCAAAATTAGGGTTCAATTTTGTTCGGAATTTTAATATCTTTCTTGCTAAAAATTATGATTTTAGGTAGGTAAAGATCTTGCAAGTTTTACATACTTCCAATTTGGGCTTGAGAGTCAAGAAGCCACAATGAACAAAATTTATTATATTGCCTGTAGAAATGGGGTTATAGCCTGGTTTTAGTGACTGCTGAAAAACTGGCTTGATTTACGTCTTCTTTATAATCACTAGTCGTAACTTCCTTACAGAAGTTTCTCTCTGTTTTAGAAATAATGTTATGTAAACACAAAACAAAGCAAATGAAATTTGACCACCGGGAAACAAAGAAAATATTTGAGATCTGCTCAGACTGGTATGAAGTTCATTAAGTGTTTTGTTAGTAAGTTGCAAATCGTAATCAAACATGAAACAAAAGGGCTTATTAGTGATTAGTAAAGGATGCCGAGATTAACTAAAGATCTACTGATTATCTGGCGTCAGGTAACTTTGTACAGTCCCGTCTTGAAGTACGATTTAATGTACCAATATATCTGCCAAACTGATCTTACATCAAAAGTTTTACCTCTATATCGGGGGAATAGCAAAAGCGGGCTGCAAAGGTTCTAGCGTGCTGTACATTTAGACAAAAACCAAAAACCTGGCATGTCCCAGACTCCACTACCCCAAATGTCCAACGCTCTCTTTTCTGACAAAATCACAGCTATTTCATTACGCACCATTGAAAGAGAGAAACGTTATGTAGATAGATTATACCATGTAGTAGATTGGATTGAGGGAAAAATATTACGAAACAAGATCACAACTTGTGCCACAGATACCAACAAAAAAGCTCCCTATTCCAACATAATAAGTTGAAATGGTAAAAAAGTTACATATGTTTCTAAGTGAGGAAAAGTTTTATCGCTCATGGCCAAACCTTTGTCTGGTATTGCAGATGAATACTTGACCTTTAACAGACCTATTATTTTCTCTCTGGTTGATGTATAGAATTATCTACCCCCTGTCGAACCCTCCTGGATAAGCTGAAATACACGTTATTGACACCACCCAGAGAGGAAAATTTGCCTCATTAAAAAACCTCAAGTGTATATTTGGAGTGCTTACCATTTAGCCAAAAATAAAAACGGAAATTCTGGTCGGAAATCAAAACGAAAAGCTGTATTCCGGAACGTCCTACTGAAAACTGTGGATGACTCGTTTATTATCACTTTGGGTTACGTTAAATGTAGATTTTTGAGTTGTCGCTTGTTGTGGAATAACATGTAAAACATTGATCAGCCTGTTGCGAAACTCTTTTTTTATTCCTTTCGAAAGTCCTTTCCTATATAAGTCCACCTCCAGGGTACAAACCACTCTTAAAATCGCCCCTTACGATATAATTATGAGAACAGATCTTCAAATTAAAATTTTACGGTGATTGTAGGATAAAGGTAACTCACTGACAATCTGTGGACACGACGAAATCTTAGAAGTTTTTGAATTTTTTTGCTTTGAAAATAGTTACCCCGCTTAAACCTTACTGAGATAAAAGTTTTAATTTTCAAGAGCTGAGAGTGATCAAAAAAAAAAAAAAAAAAAAAAAGTCACGGTGAAACAATATATTCCTCACAAAGGCTGATGACACAAAAGAGGGGAACAAAAGTAAGAATTAGATGCTGAAATTATCTTACTTATTTCAAAAGGTTTGATTTCTCTTTGTTCCCGTCGAAACAAACAAAAGTAAGGGAAAAGTCCTTCAAAGCTGTTTAAACTGCTTTTGTCCCACGAAACGTGTGAGTGCGGTGTCACGGATGTCTATGGTGTATATAAACAAACACGAGCTAGTCTTTGCACATCGTGTTTCCCACAGCACACAGGAAAGGAATAGACATGAAAGCAATAGTAGCTTTGCTGTTTCTCTCGGCGCTGGCCTGGCATGCCCAAGCGGAGATGGAGTACCATCCACAGGCCATCTTGAATTATCTTGAGAGGGAAGATCGTGAGATGGTCAGGAAAGTTCGCGGCCTCTTGAAACTGCAAGACCATGGACCCAGCTTTAAGCCATCCTTCAAACCATCTTTCAAACCAACAGGAGAAATGATTCCACCGCCAATAGTAAGTAGTTATGTATTGAAAAAAATTGAAATTTGCTTTTTGCGGGCTCTTCTCCAGCCTGTTGACCAAAAATAAGCGATGTTACAGGTAAAACTTTTGCGATGAAAATTATTTTGATTCTGAAAGATTCTGACGGAAACCTGCATGGATCAACCCAAAGTCTTAACGACAGATTTCATTCACTGTGCCTTTTTTAATATCATGCTTGAGTAACTCAGTATATCAACAGGGGAATATTTAATGAGCAAGACCAAACTTCCATTTCGTGGATGTTTCAACTAAATTTAGAGAGTCAATGCCTCGCCTCCGACGACTTTTTTCTTTCTTCGAAAAACAGTGGAGTTTAAACTGAACAGTTTTGTTACACCCTAGTGCAGATTTTTCAAGACTGTCCATTCATGTCTACAGTGTAACCCAAACTCTGACCTTAGATTTATGAGAAAAAATGCTAAAATTTCAATACAAACTTCTTAATTTTTTTTCTCTTTTTATAGAAAAAGTGGGTGGCTCAAGCGCTGATCTGTCATCATAAAGCCGGAGAAGATGCTTGTGAACATCTCAAGTGTATCAAGCTAAGTGGATGTTGTCTGAAGGAAACAGGGATTGAATTTCGTCCACCTCCATTTGTGGTGCGTATTGACTTAATATTGGTTCCTTCTCCCTCCCTTCCCCCCCTCCCTCCCTCCCTCCTCCCCTCTCCTTACCTAACTACCTATCTACCCTGTCTATCCAATCTACCCTATTAAAGCTGCTAACTTACTAAGCTACCTTCTACTTATGAAGCTACCTTCTCAAGCCCTAGCTACATAGAGGGAGGCAAGAAAACTTTGCAGAAGTGTTAGTTTGCAGTTTGGCGATTCTTTTGTGTTTGTATGAACAAAGTTCTGCATCTTGAGAGGAACGAAATTTTTGCTGAGTAGATGAACGTTTTTTGATTTTTGTTCAAGTTGCCGAACTTAAACAACGAAAGAAACGTAATATTTTGATGTCTTAGTTCTTGGGTTATACAGAGGGAAGTTGTAAAATAGATGATTCGTAGATGAATATTTCAAGTGATTCCGAATACTAAGATCGCCAACTGAAATTTTATTCGCACGCGGAATTTGCCTTTTGATTGAAGGAAACAATTGTTGCATGTTGCAGTTTTTCAGTTGATTTTTACAGGACTTGCCTCTTTTGATGTGAGAACCTATTTTCGTATCAATCTAGGGATATTCGCAAAACTAAAACTCACGAAATTTTATGTTACACGATACCTTCTTCAGTAACCACCCATCGACCTACCCCACCTCTTCATTATTCACTCGTCTAGAAAAATACAACTACTTCTGAGATTGCAACTTCAGGCAGGGATGGTGTACGCGTGCACATATGAATGACCAGCTAGCTCTAGTTCTTTGAGAATAAATCATGACATCTTACGCCTGTGTTGCCGTCATTCTTCGAGTATTAGCTTTTGTTTTCATTGTGACGAAAAATAAACGATTTAACTGGTTTTCTTTGGGTTTTCTTTTCCATCACTACAGAAGAGATGCCTGCCTATCATTCCGTGTTGCATGCTGGGAAGTGAGACCTGCGAAGAGAAGCTGTGTTGTTTTGTGCGATTTGGAGAATGTTTGAAAAAGCTTGGAGACAACATAGACGCATAACTCATTTGACCCAACGGACGGAAAAACGGAGTTAATCTTGAAACCAAAAAATTACCAGTAGCTTTAAAACGATATCAAGTTGTCATGTGTATACTTTTGTAACATTAAAGAGCCTGATTGTGATAATTCTCTGGTCTCTTTTAATTGTTCTTGTGCCCGCGTTCAAAGCGCAAACTGCTATCAGTCTGATCTACTGTTTTCTAAGATTTAGGACAATTCATTAGCATTTTTGAAACGATGAAAAGACGATAATCGCTTAAATATTTTTTTAAATTTTCCAGTCACTTTCTATTGAATGATGTGTTGTTACGCTGTAGCTTAGATATCTCCATAGCTAAGAGACTGGTCGAAATGTTTGGGAGCACGAGAAAGAAGAGATCTTTCGAGTGAGATTTATCGCGTTTCCTTCGATAATTTTTTAAAAATTGGCAGAGTCCTAACCACATACATTTCACATCAAATACTAAATTCTTGTTAAAATTTGTTAGATTTAATGAAATATATACAAATTGGAAAATATTGACGAAACCTTCTTATCGACATTTCCAAATTATGGTAAAGAATGAAGCCATTCCATCGAGAGAAAATAACCTTAAGGTATTTAAATCGAAACTGGAATAAATGGCCTGTCTTTGGCTATGATGTCGCCAAAGTAACGTGCGCAATCTAAAAATTGTTACCCAAAACAGAGGCTTTATTATGTCCTAAGAACTGCTAAATCTCTTGAGGGGAAACTTGGAGATAATTAACTAGGTTTCCTTTCGTAACTTGCGCTCTGAAGAGAGTTTTATTCGTAAATACTCTTGGATTCACCTTAACTTGCTGAGTTTGTAATACTTAAGTGTAAAATGAAGAATTCTAGTCAAGAATTTGTCGAACCTGCCAAAACGTTGGTAATTATGTCCCTTTTGTTAGGCGCACAAGGTTCACAGGTCCGTAAGCTACCGCAGTTATGTTGTACAGCTTGTTTAATAAATACACCAATAAAGACACTAAGCTTAACTTTACTCGTTTTACGTTCTTTATTTACTTAAAATCAACAAAGATAGAGGAACATATAACTTTGAAATCCTATTTAACATCAATCTTTTTCTTGAGTTGAGGATATGAGATCGTTAAAAATTACACTGTGACAGAAAAAGGAACAGCTGATCAATAAAACATACCCAGGATCAAAATCAGGTAAACATCAACAGGGTAAATTCGGCCTAAACCAACAAAACCCATCAATGTACCTTTACATTAGCCACAATTTGATCAAAGACTATTTGTAAAGTAATTCTACTCTTAAAATGTCATCTTCCTATTTATTAACTTTTCTTTTTCATAACTTAAAGCGTTTGTTATACACACCAAGTGCGCGAGTACCAAATGATCACTTAATTGCAGCGTTCAAATGGTTTTTGAGTCATTTTGACACGAGTGGATTCAGGTCCCAGGGTTTGTCGATGTAGTACCAACTGTTGCGTTGCTGTCACCGAGACTCTAAAGACAACAAAGTAGCTTGCGTGTTACTATAGGAAACCTTCAATGTCATGTTAACTAAAAGTTCAAATCGGGAAGAAGCACTTACTAGGAAGAAATATTGGAATAAAACCAAGTCTATCTGATTTTCTTAATTTCCCTCTACTGGCTACTTGGATCTCAACCCTGACGTGGTTGGTATTTATTCAGTTCACAGGTTGTATGAGTACCAACCTTGGAAAGTCCCACAAACCAAAACTAACGGTTCGCACAAGTTTCAAAACAGCTAATTTTTGCCTCCAGTCAAACTTTAAGTCCCTCCCTCTCGCTGTGCGTGCGTCAGAAAGCTCAAATCGCAATTTTCACCAAAATAACAGCAATTCAACTAAAAAGTTGCTAAATTCTAGGAGAAACAGGTTATTACCTCCTTTGGTAAGTTGTTCATGCGAAACTGTAGCAAGGCCTGTGTTAGGGCATTAGACACATGTAACGCCATTGACGCGTCTTCTTCGCTGGTCACAAGTTTTCCCTGAAAACAAAACAAAACAACCATGGTCAATCAGTCAAAACAGTCACCTGCTACATCGTAGCCAGCCAGCCAGCCAGCCAGCCAGCCAGTCACCCAGCCAAACAATCAACTGTGCGCGCATTTCATTAGCTGCACGGTACATTCCTCACGTTTCCAATGGCCCAATAGAGATATTTAGCAGCGCGTTTGCGTGAAACGTGTACGGCAAGAGTGACCACGTGATCTTGTTTTTCCCGCCATTGTTTCATGTTTGCCGGTTGCACTTTCCCGTCTGTTCAAGAAAGTAACCTGTTGTTCGTAAGATTTTCTTCACTTTTTCTCTTACAGTAGTTAATTGCCGGAAAAGGGATACCAAAACTATTTTTTGTACGTCATGCAAGGGCGCCTTCATATCCATCATGACCTGACCTGACCTCAAGCGAAGCTAATAAAAGCAGCACGATTTACGCTATTTACGTGAAAAGTGAAAGGGCAAGACCAAGTTTGCCTTTTCGCGTAAACGCGGTGCTAAATTTCTCTTATGTCCCTTTAAATTTGACCAAACAGGGAAACAACCCATCGGGAGTTTGATGTTTGTATTTCATCACTGAGCATCAGGCGCTTATTTCGTACTACTCACCAAATCTTCAATTGCTCCTTGGAGAAGGCTCATATTATTTGGAGCACTATCTCTACTGCTAGCACTTCCAGCAGCACTGCTACTACCACCGGTGACACTTCCACCAACAGCCGTGGGTGGCTGTCCGTACGGGTGAAACCTTTGTTCATTAGCACTGGGCATCTGCCCATATGGGTCAGACCTTTGTTCGCTTGTGGTTTGATTATGATAGGAGCTATTGAGCTGCAAATCAAAACAAAAAAAAAAACAAAAAAAAAAAGGAAATAAAGCTTAGGGATAACTCCTACGAGTGACAAGCGTCTTATTTCTCCTAACAAAATATCACCCCTAAAAGAACATTAACAAGATGAGAATAGAGGAAATGAATGCAAATCCCAGAGGCTATTGCCTGTTAGACAGATTCTCCTTGTAAATACCCAAGGAAGTGTAAAACGAAAAGTTATAAATACTTGCATACTGATATAAGAGAGTAATAGGGTTTAACTAAAACTTACAAACATCATCCTTTTCGTCCAAGCTTGATGCTTATAATGTTCAAGTGAAAGTTCACACTTGATTTATTGCTTGGTCCTCTACTAGTTTTATTTAGAAGCCAATTTATTATACCTCATAATTTGAGCCACTGTTGTTTCCATAGTAACTGTCATAAAAGTTATCACGATTGTCGCTGTGCTGTGTCAGTCTAGGCGGAGATCTAGGTTTGAATTCCTCTGGGGGTAGCATCATATTCCTATTTTGACATGATAAAAAAAAAACATTAATAACAAACAATCAGGCCAAACATTTTATGTTATGTTACAACAAATGTTTTTGCTTGCGTGCGGTTGGTCAAAATGCACTGCGTGACCAAATATCCCCCAACTTAAACTTGGTGGTATCCCAGAATGTATCCAAAATGATATTCCCCAGTTTTCAAACCTTATGTCCAATACGGAAACTCTGCGCTTTAAAATCCATTCAAGATAACATATGTTGCGTGGTTGTTACTGATCAAGAAACATGTGTTTTGTTCAAAAAATCGTATCAGACATCACAGAAAAGTGAACATCTCACGCCGTAAACAGTAAGCTGTTTGTAAACATTTTTCCTTTGTAATGAATAATATTTGAAGGATAACAAACACAATAACCTTCATTTGGGGAGAATATGTGCTTGTATATTTGTCCTTGGACAACATCTGTTCTTCCAAACTCACAGTTTTCCTCAAGCTTCATTCTTGGAAAACTGTTCCATCTCGGAACAGATAATGTCTAGGGATAAGTATCCGTGCACATTTTGTGCCAAATGAAGGCTATTGTTTATATAACTAGTAAAAGAGGGTGTGATTATATCATGTTACAAATCACACAGTTTAACTGACTTAAAAGTCATTTCAGAACCTTTTAATTTTTAAAAACTAGCCACTGGTTTTGTGTCAACTATACATGTTCATACCCTTCTCCATGTCTGCCACTGTTCCATTCTAAGTCAATGTCATCATTTCCGCCATATGACCCAGTGGGGAATGTGTGATCGGGTTGACTCTCATAAAGGGAGTAATTTTGACTCCAGGACTGATTCTGCTTTCTCCCACCTTGTGACACTCTTGCTCTACCCCTACCACCACGGTTTGATGCTGTAGGCTGTTGCTGGTTGTAATTATGAGGATTCCCTTGCTGCCCACCTCCTCCTCCCCTCATAGTTGCCTGCCCTCGTCCGGAAAAGGAATTTCCTTGTGCTCCCCGTCCACCCCTCATATTACCATGTCCATGTCCTCTTCCTCTCGCACTTTGCCATGGCTGCTTTGCTGAAATTTGTGAAACATTTTTTATTTGACACTTCATCAGGATTTGTTTAGAAACTGTTTGACAGACATAGTAAAAATAGTCTCCAGGAGTGATCATAGTTTCAGATTTACAGATACAATTACAAATAATTTTATCCCATATCAACAAAAGAGTTCTACTATAATAAGAATGGACATAAGTATGTACCACACAAGTGAATTGTACTTTTTGTGCACACTGAATGGCTAGTTCAGAAGTGAATGCTAAGTACTATTCCCCTCCAAGAGGCAGATGAGAAAACCTTAAGCTTCAAAAGTTTAACTTCCACCCATTTTCTGGTATATTGAAAGAAGTAAACTTAATTTTTGGTATCTGTGTGGTATAAACTAAAAATAATTATTCAACTCAATTGTCAGTAAAGGTGGTGGATATTTATCTTTGCAGCTTGGTAAATATCCACCAATATTCACCTCCACTTGGGTGCATAATTGTTGGTTACTCATTCACTTTAAGAGGAAACTCAAAACATCACTTAATAGACAATATGTTGCAGTCTTCCTTCTCATGGTTTTTTAAAAAAATATATTAAAAGAAAAATCTTCTTTGTACTACTAAATTGTGGAATGTTTAAGTCTAGTTGGGTATGCCTTGTGATGTAGGAGCAGTTCTTCCTCTAAAACCTTTTAAGATAGCAGTTTTCTTTTAGCGCTTTTAAAACTGAAGGAAAGATCAAAGATACACTTTAACAATATAACCTTGGAGTATGAAATGTCCCATGAATAATTGATCAAACATCTGAGGAAAAAGATTAGTATGTAATACTACCTGTTGAAAAAATTTGTCCTGCTAGAATATATTTAAAGGAACAAAAAAAATTTCTTGAACACTGATTAGCTTTATTTTTCTACAGTTAACAGTTTGTTTAAAGAAAGATGGCTGACAGCTCCGCACACTACAAAAAAATATTCTTGGCTATGTTCAAAGAAGTTTTGCATCATTTTTTTTTTTATATGAGATTCTCTTTACCTCCTCTACCCATTTGCTGTGTAACTGGTTGGTTGTTTGCTGCTTTGTTGTTGATGACAATGAAAGGGCTCTTTTCAACTCTAGTTTTCACTTGTTGTCGACCAAGCACCATCTCTAATTTACGTGCTTCTTCAAGCAGCCTGCTGGACAGTTCTGATCGCTTTTGGACACCTCCACGGATACTCTGAGCTACAGCTGGGACCTTCTCTTTCTGGTAAGGAAGGATAAATAACTTTATTTCATTCGGGTTTGTTTCATGTGATATGTATTATGTAAATCGCTCAGTTCTATGCATTTTTCCTGCTCTGTAACACGGTAAAGCCATGCGGGATGTTGGGAGAAAACAAAGAGAACTTATAACCCACAAGCTGAAGGGGAGTGATTTACAGGCTCTCCAAATGTTCTCCCAGTATCCTAGGGGGATTTATCATGTTATGAAGCCCTGAAAAATGTGTTCTACTGCTTTTATGATATATCTGTTTATATGCCAGCTCTATAACCTGATAAAGCATTCACTTGGAAACTGAACTGACCAATCAGACAATGCATACTATGTTCACTACATTATGTACTTAATATATATAATCACTCAATTGCATAAATTCTGAGGAGGACATCACAGCTGCAGTTACAAGTTGCATGTTTTGACTAGATTCTATCTGCATTTCTTTTTTTAAATTCTAATCATTTTCGATTAGGAACTATTGATAGAGGAAGCTTAAAGTTTTTCTCAGATGAAAGCACATGTGCTCGCTTGTAGCCTAATATAGGTAGCTTTGAAAGTGTTATGACTGGGAATTGCTGTTTTTCACTGTTAGCATACACAAATGTTCTTCGAAGCAAAATGGTCAAGGACTGTTTTGATTGTCAAGCAAATAGCAACCACTAAGGTGGCCCAGAAGGCTCAACGCAAACAAAAAACATACTGCAGCAAATAAAAAATATACTGCAGCAAATAAAAAATATACTGTAGCAAATAAAAAATATACTGCAGCAAATAAAAATATACTGGAGCAAATAAAAATATACTGGAGCAAATAAAAATATACTGCAGCAAATAAAAAAAATCATAACGCAATGAAAAAAAGTACCGCAGCAAATAAAAAAATGCAACGCAAACAAAAACTACTGCAGCAAATAAAATATGCAATGCAAACAAAAAAAGAGAAAACGCAAACAAAAAAGTTGGAACGTAACACCAAGGAAGACTGGGTAATAGCTCTTAGTTTCCCGCCAAAACAGCATGAACTGGAACTTGCTTTTGGTTATGGACGAAAGCGATCAGCGTAGGATTATAGAAAATTACTTTCATCAAGGGTATGAAAATAGAGTTATCATCGATTTTTTAAAGGAGCAGCATGGGAGCAGCATGGTACCAGTACTGTCATGAGTTCGCTGCAGAACATGGTTTCAGAAAGGCGAACAAGCAAAGGATGAAACGAGTGTTGGCGGGAAACTAAGAACTATTACCCAGTCTTCCTTGGCGTTGCGTTCCAATTTTTTTTGTTTGCGTTTTCTTTTTTTTTTTTTGTTTGCGCTGCATATTTTATTTGCTGCAATATTTTTGTTTGCTGTGCATTTTTTTATTTGCTGCGTACTTTTTTTCTTTCCATTTTGATTTTTTTATTTGATGCAGTATATTTTTTATTTGCTGCAGCATATTTTTTATTTGCTGCAGTATATTTTTTGTTTGCGTTGAGCCTTCTGGGCCACCGTAAACCACTAGTTTGGACACCATACTGTATTAGTACATACCACAATCCAGTAGGTGGATAGTGCTTTTCATGCATGCTAATGACTAGATCAAAAGTGAATAGCAAGTACCTTTGAGCAGCCGATGAGACAAAATTGTGTGTCAGGAGTTTAATTTCTGACCCTTGTTTTGTTACATTGAAAGCAAAATACCAATTTTTTTACATGTGCCATACATAGAAAAAAAATTATTCACCTCAGTGTCAGTAAAAGTGGTGGATATTTACCTCCACTCCAGAGAATAAATTGTTAATTATTAAGAGTTGTAAGAGATGCAAGTTGGAACATGATGAAAGGCATGGGATGGAACAAGAAGAAAAGAGACAGGTTTTCCCTTTTCCACCAGCTTTATCCCCACTGGCATGCCCTAAAAAAGGCTCAACACAACTTTACAAGCTGGTTTTACCAATGTAAAATTAATTGTTTGTCTTTCTGGACAGCAGCCTCATTAAAAGAATGTGCAGTTTTCTCAGTGGTTTCTCAGTTGTTCAGTGCAAAAGAAACCAACTGACAAAAAGCTTGCAAACCAAAATTATACTTTAGCTTCCGTAAAATATAGCCTTTCTATCACTGCTCTGAAATATGACGCACAGATTTCTATAGAACTATCCCTTGCACAATGTACCTCTGAGACTGAAAAGAAAACTTTTACCCCAGCACAATTAACATGAGAAGTATTTCTCCATGGAAGCCTTCAAGAAAAATACTGGGCAAAGGGTCACTTTGCCTTTACACTGGTTCATTGTTTGTTAAGTGACAAACATATGATACTCTGTTTTTTTTTTCTTTTGTTTTCTTTGCTTCTTTTAATGATAAAGACAACCTGTGAATGTAGTGGAATATGTACTTCACATTTTTTTGGGCTTTTTATTTTTCAATCAATTTGGTTTCCATTTTCCTTTGTCTTTATTTGCTGTCATAATATGACAAATAGGGAAAATATAAATCGAACAAATTGGAAAAAAAAATTCATCAACTAGATAATTGTTACTGCAAAATTAACAAAGCTTCACAAAAAGAACAAAACCAGCAAAAGAAATAATCTTTTTGCCACTGTTCTTGACTAGGGATGCAAAAATTAGCAAAGAAAACATTAACCAAATGCAGAAATACTTGCAATAGCATGCATTTTGGAAAGTGACATCCAAAATATGAATATGAATCTCTAACTGAAGGCAGTTATGCTCCTATTCCTTCACTTGCACTAATGCTGCCATGCATCTTTTTAAAACCACCTGCAAGCCACCTTGCTTGAGACCTGTGCTTGACTCCAAATCATGACAGAAAAAATTGTTTTTGTGAAGAATACTGAAACACTGTTGTAAGAAATCTCATGTTAATTTTGTGTTTTGGGGTTAAAAGGTTTCCATTCTACAATCTCAGCAGTCCTTGCTACTCACCAGTACATTGAAACGATGTTTACTTCCAACAAGATGTGGGAACTTCAAGTTGTGATCAAATTTGGAGTCGCATAGTTTGCAGTGATACCTTGGACTCTGTCCTATAACCTGGATTTCTGTAACATGCTCCAGGCCTACAGTAACAGAACAAGTGGCACAACAGGCCAGATTGTAAACCAGGTGAAAATAAACATCATAATACTTTGTAGCTGAATATTTTCACCTATGATATTCATTGCCATTTGCTACAACATTATATGGCAATTTGGGTTTGACACTCACTTGTCTCCTCCCTCTGATCCTCATATAAAAAGCCTCAACCACGTGCGAATCAGAATTAAAGGGTGGTTTTCATATGTCGGGAAAATCCTCAACGGTAGGGAATTTCATTGTTTCCTGACAGTCCCAGAGGTTTCTGATTTTATGGAAACTTGAAATTTGAAATCAAAGACCTCCTCAATTGTCTAGCGTGGTCAAGAACAAATTGAAAATCTGGAGCATTTCTATTTTTGTGATGAAAAAACAATACATCCTTGATCTTTGGAATGCTCCGCAATCATAAAGATATATCAAAACTCCTATTTATTACTGTTGGGGACATTAGGGATGGTTTTAGTTTGCTACCAATCCTTGAATTGCTTGGCTCTGGTACCCCTGAGGCACAAATAAAATGGACTCTGTAATCTATCAACTGAGACAAATGTCTGGTGATCTTCTGATATATAAGCAAAACTGGGACTGTGGGTAAATGGTGAAACTCCCCATCATCTGAAATTTTTGTGACATAAGTAAACCAGCCTTAAATTTGAATGGTTGGAGAATAAACTAGACATCAAGTAGTAGTTATCTCCATATATGAACAAGTCTTGACTTGCAACGCACAGGCCACTGGACACAGCCCTCCTCTCAATTTGCCTCCCCATCTGATCTGTGAAATATTGATCCCTTGGTGTTCCACAGAACAAAACATGAATCCATATCTCACTATGCACAGAACAACTGAGAGGCAAGTTTAATTGTTGAAGTTTAAGTAATTTAGGGTTCCTACTCTTGTGGACTTCAGAAATATTTGCCTAGCTAGTATGCTGTATGTCAAGATAAGAATGCTACCAATGCAAAAAGCAATTTTTGACGCATCAAAATTCCTGTTAAAAGTGAGGCTAAAAAGGCACAAACAAAGGATATAAACATCCATGCGTTATCATTTCTTTGTTGGTACCATCTCAGCTTTGTTATTACCATAATTTCCGGCCATTTACCCGCACGGCCGATTACCTGCACCGGCCGATTATTGCATGCAGCGAAAAAAAANGGTAAACGGCCGGAAATTACAGTAACCTGAATTTTAACTCTTAACTCCCTGAAATCAGTCTCCATTATTCTCCATACTCTTTTCTACAAATTTCCTTTGGTAATAACAAAGAGAATTTATCAGTTAAACCTTGTTAGGTTGGCAAACATTTCCTTTATTCTCAAGAACATAAGGAATGATTCGGCAGAATGACTGTAAGGAAAAATTAGCTGCTGGTCACTCTTACGGTTTTAAGGCTTCATACATATCACAATTGCCCATTATTGTAAAATCCCACGGATAAGCCGTACCTTTTTTCCAAAAGTCGTTGATAGAAATTGGGGGTGTGGCTTATCCACAGGAACATTTGAAAAAGGTGTCGTGAATGTCCATTTTTGCATCCAATCTATGGTAATGCCTGGTTACTAAGCTTCGAATGTTCTGCTCATGTTCTTGTTGTAATGCAAAAATCTATGGAAAAACTGTGTTGAAAACACCGAATGCAAATATGGCATCCAATTTGAGTTGCTATTGTTCTAGACTCACTAGCCTCGTCTTTGTGGGGAAACAGAAAAGGACTATTACATGTGTGAGAGGCTAGTGAGTCCAGAACAATGGCAACTCAAATTGGACGCCCTATTTGCATTTGATGTATGAAGAAATTCTTGTCAACAAATACCTGAAAAAGACCAATTATATGTCAAAGTTGGTAGAAACGATGTTCATTATATAAAGTGCTAAAGTTGTGGGTAACACTTTGAAGTATTTTCCGTTGCAACGTTAATGATGAGTTTATGTTCAATGAACAGTGGATGAAGAAGAATTCTCAAGACTTGACTTTGGATTAATCTTTTGATTTCTATCAAAAAACTTTTTTTTTCAAAATTTGAGCTGCTAAATTCAGGGTGCGGCTTATCTGTGGGATTTTACCGTAGTTATGTACACGGTTATCTTCAATTAAACAGTCATGTCTGCTTAACTCTTTAACCCCTAAGGGTGAATAAAATCCAAATTCTTCTTACAATATCAGTCCTTTATTATATGGCTGTGTCTCACAAGGACTGGGAACTACCGAATTCACGAATTTGATTGGCTGAAATCAATATTGAAAGCAGTCTAGATTTTCCCATCTAGACTGGCATCTAGACTGGTCTAGAAAAAGAAGGTACAAAGAATATAAAAAATTGGCATATAAGACACAGCCATATAATAAACATCTTATTAACCGAGCTAGGTTGGTATGTATGGGAGAATCTTGACCTCGGTCGCTGGTACAGACCGCACTACGTCTCTCCCCTACTGGTCTGTACTGGCAACCTCGGTCAAGATTCTCCCATACAGACCTCCCGCTCAGTTAATAAGAACTAAGAATCACATATGAAGGTTACAAGAATTAAAGAAAATATCAACCACTTAAGAAGCTCCTGATTTTTAAATAAATTCTCCTTGTAACACCAAAGGAAATGTATGGAGAACAGTAAGGAAAATATGCACACTTGTCTGATATCATGGTGTAAAGGGTTCATCATCTATCTCAAACAAATAATTTACCTTCACATGCTAAGTATATTTTATTTGTTTTTGGTCTCCTATTGGTTAGCTGCATGTTATTCTACACTGGAGAATATTACTGCTAAGAGCTGGTAAAGTTAGACAAGTACTAGACATGTCTAATTAACAAGTCATAGCATGACATGAGGTGTGTAATGGGTCTGCATTCTGATCATAGACCCTGGCTATTCTTTCTGCACATGCCATGATTTAGAAGAGCAACACAAACTCCAATCATTACCAATCACTTACCAATAAGTGGCTCAGGGTATGTGGCAAAGTCTTTGGCTCCAATTGGACCATTCAGACTGGGCTGTTGAACAGCATGCACTGGCTTGTCATAGGGTTTGCGTGAATGACCTGGCAGATATGCCCCTCCCCTGACAGGACCACCCCCTCCTCTGCCACCCCTACTGAATCCTGTGTTCATTGCTGTGTTCATTAAACCTCTCTCCAGGGCTTTTTGCTGTGCTCTCTCTGCTCCTTGTTTCTCAAGAGCCTAACAACAAAGTATAAAATACACAATCAGGTAAACTTGCCACCGAAGAAAAAAAACAATACAGTCAGCTTTTGATATGTGGACATCTTGCTGGTGTGGACACCTCGGTTATGACAACAGCTGCTAAATGCCTATCAAAATCTTTAGACATTTAGCACTTCCTTTGGCTTCAACAGCAAAAAATATAATATTTGGCTTTCCATTGGTCATTACCTTTTATCATTGAGTAGAACATCTCAAAATATAGTTTACTTCCTTATCCCTCTCTCCGTTCAGCTGTCACTGATTTTTGGATGACACACATAACCAGGAAAACCAAACTAACTGGTTAGAGAAGTTTACCAGGAGCAGCCCAATATACATGAAACTCCAAAGTTTCAAACTCTTTGTGATTTAAAGGATGTTTCAACCCAAACCTAGCTTTCCTTCCCATGTGGAACCAATTTCTTTTGTCTCCCAGGTTAACAAAATCAGCATACATTTATATGACCCCAAATGATACATGGTAAACTTGAACTCTTTTTTCAAAAACATCTATCAAATGCCTAGATTCTGAACCCTCAACAGTGTATTGCTATGCAAACAGTTCACCATTTTATAGTCATACTTACCTTTCTGTGCTTTTGACCGATCAGGTGAGCATTCCAAGCAGAGTCACTATTGCATGTTACTAAACACACCTGTTAAAACACAGAAATCAAGTCTTACACTCACTGCAGTGACATTCCCCCCATTTGGTAAAGGCAGGTATTAGCTGCCAAATTAGGTATCACAAGAAACCTATCAGAATACAAAGAAAAAAATGAGAAGATTTTGTATAAAAGGAGTCAGAAATGCACAAAAACCTGGAAAGATGGTAACAAGTCACAGAGTCATGTCTCCTGAAAACAAACTCCTGTCACCCTAAGTTTTAAGCCATACTTAAGTTCACAGAGCAACCAGGTGGACAATCAGACATGGTTTTTAGCCATGTTTCCAGTACTCCTGAGTCATGTAACCCATTTTTTTCTAAACAACAAACATATGAAATACATATATATGAACTGCGGTTATGAAACGTATATGTGCACGATCCTTCGCAGTAAAGCACTATTTAAGCAATAGTGAAAATCAGACCTGAAAAAAATTCAGGCCTGTACGGGAATAAATAGTGCTTTACTGCGAAGGATCGTGCACATATACGTACCGGTTTTTTTTATCACAGTGAAAATCATCAAAAAGACATGACTGATTAAAAAGCGCTAAAGGTACAGTGTATCAATTGATCAAAAAACCTTTACTTACCTTACGGAACCTTCAATAGTGAAATTTCACTCTAAATGTGACCTGATTCTCAAATGTTTAAGGTGAATTAAAACTTTGGGCGACGTAACTCTGGTTTAAGGCGACATGACTTTGGGCGTGATGATTTTCGAGCGAGTTGACAATAAACCGGACAGATCTTTACCTGACAATTGTATTGAGGAGGGGGCTTTTTTTCCTCTTTCTCTTCTAGTCTCTTTGGAATTTTGATATTAAATTCCTCAATCGCACGCTTTATGTGTCGTGCACTCATGCAATGATACTGGTAAGCCTGGAATAAATGATAACAAAGAAATGAAAATAGAAGTTTTGTCTAGACGTTGCAAGTGTATTGAAAGTGGACTGCTCGAGAGAAATATTTAATGCATTGGACGAATTGTACGGCATTGAAACCCATGAAGAGCAAGCTTCACCAACCTCCGAACAGTCTGCAGTGTAGTCGCATAGTTTACAGAAGTAAGGTACTGCTTTATCTGTGTTGATCCACTGATGTCTTGGATCGACTCGCTTTATCTGCGTTTCTTGTGGACTGGGCTGGATTATCTCAGGCGGTTTGGCACTAGCAAAGTCACTATAAGGATTCTGTTCTTTGTCTTCCGAGACTTCTTGCACATTAGAGGGCGGAACAACCTGTTTTGGATCTCCGTCCGAAACAGTTTCCTCACCTACGTTGGTCGCCATATTTAAATTCCCATAATGCGTTTCAAGCAGCAAATGGGATGATTTTCTTCCGCAAAAAAAATGGTCAGCAAGAACGCGGATAAAGTTACACTTATTAAATACACACTCTTCAAAGCAAATGAATGAAATTGAAATTTGAAGACAAGAAAAAGAAAAAAAAAAAAAAAAGGCAAAAATCACGACAGCCACGCTCGCGATAACAGAAATGACATCTCTCTTTTTACATTTACATTTACATGTTATTAGGTCGGTGAAATCATCAAGAAATGACACCAACCGTAAAAAAAAAGCAAATAAATAAATAAAGAAAATAAGTAAATGAATAAAATACAATTTACTCTTTACAATGACCCGAGCATTTCGAGGCTTAAAAACGAGTTTTGGATATGGCTCGTCAGTTATGGATTCAAAAGGACAATACCTCAAAAAATTCAACAAAGTGCAAGAGAGATTTTTATTTTCTAATTCGTTGAGTAAAAGGTAAGAAAATGAAAGTTTTGCTTTATTGTGCAAGTACTGAAAAAAAAAACAACACTTTTTCAAACTAATTTTTCTTACCTTATTAAGATAGCCTTGCCTTATTAAGATAGCCTTGCCTTATTAAGATAGCCTTGCCTTATTAAGATAGCCTTGCTCTAGAAATATGACAATCCGTTTGATCAATTGGAATGTGATTCCCATCACCCCAATAAAGTTTAAATGTTAATGTGCTTTATTTGGAAGAATGAAACTATTTTGCAGTGCGGTACAATAAATAAGTGTCTCAGGAAATTACGCCCAAAATTTTTCAACGTGATATCATTATGGCAAGATCGAAATGAACTGGTGACCAATACATTTGAATATATGAAAATTATATATGTGTAGTGCGGTTTCATGAAATGTATGAAAGCGATCCTCGCAGTAATAAATCCTGGTAGAGGAAATAAGACCTGATAAAAATTAAGGCCCGTACGGGATTTAAACCCGAGACCTCAAATACTAATATAAATCACACTCTATGCAAACTCGATCATTATTGAAAGAAAAATACTGAGATTTACAAAGTTAAACTAGCTTGCAACGGAAAGGCATGCTACCAGAAACAAAGTTTCACTCACAACCCCGATGATTTCTTGACCGCTGGAGAAAATCCGGATCTTCTACCAAATTCGGGTCCTCCACAAAATTTGTTGGGGGGTTTTACGGCTCGCTCGGCTGAATTAACGAGAGGTGTTAAGACTCTGTACTTTTCTTCTTTTATTCTCTTCTGGAGAGCTACCACAGCAACGCTTTATGCATCTCATACTCTGTGCATCTAATGCTCTACGCGTCTAATTATCATGCGCGAGGTAGTAACGCTTTAAGTAGGAAAACCGTAGACGTGTTTGGGTTAGCTGACCGTGTGAGTTTCCACAGTGTATCCGTTTATTTTACAAAAAGGGGGAAACTGGTTGGCCCGCTCCGAAGTGCTTGGCGAGCATCAAGGAACCAATTAAACGTTAACAGCTGCGCACAGGAATTGCGCACACAAACCAATTGAACGCTAACAGCTGCGCACAAGAATTGCGCACACAAACTGGAGCTTCAGTGTGGGTAGAACTCAAGGTCAGCTTTACCAACGCAAACACGACCACCTGTGAAACTGTCTAATTGTCTAAATGTCTAACACGGTAACAAAGAAATCCGTGAGCTGAGCCCAAAAAAACATATTCTACCAAAACAACGCAGAGGCGCAACAGGCAAGGATTAACAAAACAAAAGGCTTAACTAGAAAAGTCTCAAAACAACAACTTTCAATTCACCTCACAACAGTGATATCATTATGGCAAGATCGAAATGAACTGGTGACCAATACATTTGAATATATGAAAATTATATATGTGTACTGCGGTTTCATGAAATGTATGAAAGCGATCCTCGCAGTAGTAAACCCTACTTATGTAGTAGAGGAAATAAGACCTGATAAAAATTAAGGCCCGTACGGGATTTAAACCCGAGACCTCTGCGAAGATCACTGACAACGGTTGCTTCCTTCCTTTTTCTATCGAAATTTTGAGCGGGAAATTCGCGCACAGTAGGCTAAATTTTATCCCCTTGCACGTGCCCTACGTTTGACTGACTGCTGTATTGTTGTGACGACGCTCCTTTTTTTTCGGTGAAATTGACGAAACACGAGAGATCTTGCGAAACTTAATGGCATTAGGGTTAACTGTTTCTCGAACGTTCCGTTGACTTTACGGGCCTTAAGTAATATTTTTAAATCAAATATTAAGGAATGGTATTGCAGATCTTAGCTTAAAAAATCTGATCGATCTGTTTCCGGTTTCCGAATATTTTAATTTTTTGAGTTTTAAACTGTGATTATCTCATTTTTTAGTGAATCTTGGCCCACAAAAATGAGCTTTCTGGGCTCGTAGAGTTACCGGGTCTGTCGAGAAACAGTCGAACCTAGGCAAGCAATGCTTCAGTCTCGGATAATTCCCTTGTTTTTTGTTATATTTGTATTTGTAAATCAAAAGATCTGTTTTGCTGAATCGGTTACTAAGGCGGCAAAACTGTTGACTTAATCGACGGAAAACGATTAAAACGACGCCCATCTGAGACTGCTCTCGTTGTGTGTTTTGTCTCATTCCCGGTGCTGCCTCCTTTGTCTTTTGACATAAACCTTCGGACAGCTTTAATCATCTTGCCTTTATTTTCAGTCTCCGCTTCCTCGTCAACTTCTTCTATTTCAAATTCTACATTGTCGCTCACAGCTGCTCGCATTGATGGCATATCCACACCTCCTACGCCTAGTTGTAGCTTGAGCCCAGAAGATTTCCCTCCTGCTGCTACTGAATTCACTCCGCTACCCAAGTCATTCAAGGATAGAAGCATGGTGATGCAGCACGCAGCGGAACACTGCGGATTTCTGCGCCACATCATAAAGTTGTGTATCAATACAGCAAGATAGCGTCCTGGCGAAGAGAAGAAAGCAAGAGGTCAATTGTAAGCGAGCTTGTTTTAATTATGAGGGGCACTGAAAAGCCTGTTGAGAGAACAAACGAGCAAGGAGCGGGGCTTTGGGATTTTCGGCTTTGCGGTTTTTACCGACTTTTGGATCGGTTTTTGGGCCAAAAAGGTTCGGGTTTTCGGTTTTGATGTTCAGAGCGGTTTGCGGATTTTACGGGCACCCAATGATGAAACATCAAGATAAGCGCGAACGTAGTGGAAGAGCCCGGGATGAAACCAAATTGACCTGGATCAATATGAGATAGCACCACGGGCTTCAGAGCTTTCTCGATAACAAAGCTCTCAGCGATCTTTGACATGGTTTATGTAAGTGAGATTGGCCGTAGATCTTTGTTAAAGTCCGAGACAATTGGCGCTTTGGGTAATGGTGGAACATCGGCCAGTTTCCATACACGAGGTATACTGACTTCAGAGAAAGAGGCGTTCAAGATGTCAGCAATGGGCACTGCCAAGATATCAGCATATTCCTTAAGGACCCAGTTTGGAATGTCATCTGGGCCACTCGCCCTAGAAGTGCTGACCTCGTGAAGCTTCCTCGTGACAGATTGCTTAGTAACCACAATCGGATTATCATCATCTGCTGACACCTGTGCGCCAACTGCCAATGGCGAGTAGTCTTTCATTACGCTAACAAACGCCTGGTTAATTTTTTCAGCTAAAACTGCATCTTTATATACAAGATCTTTGTGGAGCTTGGATTTCAGATCGCGCTCAGTAGATTTAGTGGACCCACAAAGCTGTTTCACTTCTTTCCACCAATTACGAGGCCTGGAAGCATGCAGGCCATCAACCTTGTTCTCGTAATAGACCCTCTGACAGCGCTTGCGCTCTCGATTCACTTTGTTTCTTAAGATCTTAAATAGGTACTGGTTCCCGGATGCGAATGCCTTCTGACGACGGGCAATTAGATGTTTGAGATGTACAGACAACCAAGGCCGGTCAGTCTCTTACACCTTTGTAGAGCGCCCGGGCATGATCGTGTTCAGCCCAAGGTTAATAATGTCAGTGAGAGTTCTAAGCTTAAGTTCACATGACAGATCAGGTGAGAGAAGGTCAAACCAAGGCACTTGAAGAAAAAATCTGCCCACACTGGCTCTTTTACTGGGTCTCTTGTCTCTGGAGCGGATGATCTTGCATTTAGATTTCGAGGCCGTCTCCCTGATTCCCGGCCCCATATACACAGACAGGTGGTCAGATAGACCAAACGGAGGAAGGCTACATAAAGCAGAGAAAAATTCAGGGAAGTTGGTGAAAATTTGATCCAGAGTATTATTACCTCTAGTAGGAAATGAGACAGTAGGCTTGAGGTGAAAGGCCTTAACAGCAGGTTGGACCATAGGAAGGAGCGACAGGTTAAAGTCGCCAGCCAAAATAATTGCACAGTTAGAACATTTAGCCTCAAGAGACATTAAGGATGTCACCAAATAATCCCTTATAGCGGAGTCGTTGGCGTCTGGGGGTTGATACACCAAGCCCACGATAATGTTAGAGAATCCACGCGGTAATTGGATGGGCCTAAGGTCGGCCCAGAGAGCTTCATGATCCTCATGATGAAAATCAGATAGAACCTTGCACTGGATCGAATCTTTAACGTACATACACACACCTCCATGTTGCCAGCCGACACGATCGCGCCTAAAAAGCTCGTAGCCTTTGATATTAATCGGGGAATCAGGCACACAGCCACTCAGCCAGGTTTCAGTAAAAAGGGCTATATCAGCATCAACGTTGTTTAAAGTGTGAGCAATTTCATCAATTTTAGGCGCCAAGGACATTGTGTTGGACAAAAAGATCAATGGAACAAAGTGAGGCCTCCCAAGGGAGCTTGTGGTCACGCTGTTGACTTCGGATCTTGATGGAGTCAAGGTTGGATGCGGTTTTCGGTTTTGCTGCCTTTTTTCGTCGGTTTTTCGGTTTTGGAGGTTTTTTCCTCCGGTTTTGCGGTTTCCTAAAGGCCCCAATGCCCCCCTCAGCAAGTTAAAAGGTCCTGAACAAATGAATACAAGCGAATGCACTCATGAAAGAAAAACAGGCAAAAAGTAAACTAAACGAAAGAAACAAAACAAAAACCAAAACAAAAAAAACAACGGACGAACTGAAAAGGCCCGAGAATAAAACAGTAAGCTAGCATGGATAATATAAGCTGGTCATGAACCGGTATTCAACAGATCAACTAGTCATCAATCAATTAATCGATTGATCCACCAATCAAGCAAGCAATCAATCAATCAATCAATCAAAAGATAAGTCAATTGAATACGTTCACCCGTCCGTCATATATTGGTCTTTCTTTTGTCCATTCTGTGATACCCAGTCATCTAATCATTCACTGATTCATTTAAATTTATCAGAAGTTCCATAGTCATTGTGAAAATCACTCAATAAGCGAGTCAACCCTACAGACAATCAATTATACAGAAAATTAAATCTACCACCCAGGGCTACAAACATTGGCGGGAATGGATAGAGGCGGTAACAGTTAACGCCTACTAACAAAGCTCGCTGACCGTATTTCCACGAATAAGCGCCCATCCTCTAAGAAGCACTTTTCCCCGAATAAGCGCCCACTTCCAGGCCAAAATATCAAACAAGCGCCCCCCTGGAATAAGCGTCCCCCCCTCCTCGCTCACTTTCTCATATAGTAGGGATCCAAGGAAAACCTGTTTCTACTGCAACCTCGTTGTGAAATTCTACTTATCGAAGCCAAGAAAGTATTACTTAACGCCATATTAACCATGTAAGTGAAAAACTCCAACTAACTTCTACTTTCAACACACTACTGCGAAAACTTCAAAACTAGTTTCGTCTACGAAGTTTTCGCAGTAATGTGTTGAAAGTAGAAGTTAGTTGGAATTTTTCACTTACATGGTTAATATTGCAACTTCATTTCAACTTTTCAAGCTTCAACTGCAGCGGAATCAGGACAAAAGGATAATCGTTCCTTCTCCGTCCCAGTCATTTTAATCTCCGTGTGCATGCATAGTTCTTTATGAGCGTTATTTGTTCTATAAAATTTTGTTCTATTGCTGTACTAACTTAATTGGCGCCTCCCCAACTTAAGCGCCCCCCCCCCCTCCAATGAATACTCCTTCTTTTTTCCAAAATTTTAAACAAGCACCAGGGCGCTAATTCGAGGAAATCGGTAAACCAATAAATTAATTTTGTATTTGAAAACGAAAGGGAATTCATAAAGTTTCAGTGAAATGCAACATACCCACAACGAGCAAAATAACCAAAATGTTTGCTCCAACAACGAGAATGTTCACTAGCAACGAATCGACATGTTGATCTACATCAGAAGGGACAGATTCTTTTGGGATCTTCAAAATCACTCCAATACCGAGGTTGAGAAATATCACAAGGAGAGATGTTAGCTGCAATTTGTCTTCAAATTCGTCTCTGATTGGCTTACGAAAGGCATACACAATAGCGAACAGTCCGGAACAGATCGAGGCCAGACCAACGTAAGCTCTGCTCTCACGACCAATCAGAATAATCCCACAAGTCAACACGAGCTTCCGTAGCACCTCTACAAGTTCCCAGTACCACGCGTCATCGTTGTAGTTCTCGTAAAGGAAGCTCATCCCTGAGATTAGCTCTGATTCGTCAACTGACCCCTCTATGAGACAAAGAAAGCAATACTTGCAGGAAGAACTTTGAATAGTGAAGGCACGAGATTGGTTTCAACCCGAAATTAGTTAGTGCAAACAACAAATTAGCCAATATATCGTTACATCAAATTAATTAATGTACGTTAAATTATGGAAAGTTTTTTAGGTAATTTTGTTTTCGTTTCGCATAGTAGAGTTGTTCCATGGTTCGACTTATACCTACGTATTGTATGACACATCAAATTCGGCTGCAGTGAGTCACGACCCCATTTTCAACTGCAGCCGAATTTGATGTGTGACTATCCCTAGTCTTTCAGCATCGTCCAGTTGTCGTCAAGTTTGTTGTGGTCAAATGAAATATACTGGAAAAAAACTTTTAGCTATTTGGACATCGTAAGGAAATAGCACGGAAGACAATTCTTTTTTCAGCGAGTATAAAATGTAAGTACTTTTTTCTGGGTAATTTTAAATGTTTTTTCTTCTTATTTTGCATTCCTTTCTGTTAATAATTCTACAAAACTTCCCTCCAAATCCAAATCACCGAGGGAGGCCGCAGCCCTATCTTCACCCTCTCCCCTACCCCCCTTAGTTACTCAATCTCACCTTCACCATTCTCAACTGCTAGAATTTGCTTTCTCCTACGTCTCCACAAAGCCACAAAGATGAGTACTGGAAGGAGAATAATGTAAGACGAAGCAACGAAGGCAAACAGTGTGAAAAACTCGTACTTTGTACCCTCGCACTTGATGCTGTAGTCCGCTTTAAGGTAGAACGTGCAGGACGTTTCAGTGCAGAGCTTGTGGCAAGCGACTGGAAGTGTCCTCAAAATCGCCGAACTCGTGCTTGGATAAGTTATGAATAGATATAGAAACACGTTACGATACAGGAAATCTTTCGTTGTGGATAGGGAATCCTTCACGTCTAAAGAATCTGATCTTGGTTTTCTTGCAAGAAAAATTTTCTTGACCCAGTAGCCCCCAAATGCTAAAAATATTACGCAAAAATTACTGCCGAAAATTACGTACATTTTGCTAAAAGCATTTTGCTTCCAAGATGGAAACAGGCAATGGAGCGGAACAAACTGCAGGATGTTCAGCTGGATGACTTCCGCATAATCACCAATCATAGACAAGGACGATGGCCACTTGACATAGACAAAGGCCTCAACTATCCCGGATGTGACCTGATAGAAGCCAATCACAATCTTTAATCTGGCTAACAAGATGTCGATCAAAGGGCGCTTTTCCTTTGATTTTTTTCTTTTACCACTCCAGATCAGAATACCTATGAGCAAAACAATACCCCCTCCTAAAAGGCACAGCTGCACGATGACCCAAGTACGGGACGGACAGGGCTTACATGAGAGGACCCGTTTATAAAATCCATCCTCGCACACCTCACACAACGGACCTGTATACCCTTTAGCACATTTCGACTCCAGTCCTCCCTGGCATGCTACAACCTGGGGGCACTGGTACGGAATCGGAAGAGTTCCGTTATAAGAGGTGGAATTTCTGAGGTAAGTGTTGTTTTCGATTTTCAGATTTTCGGCAAAAGCTTCATAGGCACGCCTGTTTATTTGAGAATCCCACTGCCAGTAATATCCTTGCTTTAGTGAAACTGATTCATTCACACAATCCATGCCTTTGGAAGGACAGCTCTCACAAGGACCGAATCTATCACTGCGGTGGAATCGCTCGATACATTTACAGGCTCTGTGGCCGGAGTGAAGATTTGTCCTAGTACCTACAAATAGACGAAAGCAGATCATCTGAGCTATGATCGTAACACTATACCCTGTTCTAAAATTTCCCCCACTCTAATTTTAAATCAATCTGGGCACAGTTGATGGGTAAAAGAAATGGGGTAATTTATGAGTGTCACTATCAGAGTAGTTAAAAGATAAAATGTCTGTAAAGTAAATTATGGCTTAGCATCGACTCGTGCCCTTTCCCTGACTCAGTTCTCTTTCGCTAGTATCCAAAATTATCTCTAATCAGGAATCACTTCACCTGTGGGACACACTTCGCAGTCCAAGACTTTCTTCCCCGGCGCATTTTCTGGAGGGACATACGTTCCCAGATTACACCGCAGGCATTCTTCCCCGACGGTTGCCACACTATCGGAATAAAAACCACCTAAAAAGAAAATTGTTCCTTTAGAATTGGACCGAAATTCCGATCGGTGTAGAAAAGGCGCTCAAGGGAAAATTTACTTCAGAGTTCATGAACAGACTCAAAAAGAGACATGGAGGAGATCAAACTCTCCAGGGATCTGGACGAGATTGGTAAGATCATACGCCACTTGATATGCAAAATTTGTTGTGAACAAGAACCTAGCTGGGTCAAGAGATAACACTTGTCTCTCTGCGCAGGGTGACAAAGAACATTTTGGAAGTTGGAAGAGATTGCACCTCCCCACACAATTTACTGCTCCATTGATTAACTGAGGTACCTCAACAGACGAAACGTCTAACGTGATATGTCTCATTCCCAGGCCTTTCACGGCTAAGCTAAATGGCAGGACCTGGGTAGGAGATTAATAACTTACGAGCACGTCCTCATTATCAGCGCTGCAGGACGCGCGTTTCTCCGCCTGCCGGAAGATTTAAGATGTGTCAGGGAGAGCTTTGCTGGGGGCCTGGCACTAATGATGCGAGTGATCCCAGACCCCTTACAAACTTCTCGCATTCTTTCTCTCAAACTTTCCTGTGGGCGAAGAAACGTTCGTGCCGAAAGGCTCATAACGAGGGCCTGGCGCAGGCTAGATATGAAAACGCGTTCGCCGCATTTTGCATTTAGAGAACGGAAATAACAAGAAGAAACGTAGTCTCTGGACAAACAATGACTTTCATGAACCTTGATCTCTCTTCTAAACAATACATCGATGTTTTAAGTTAGTTAGGAAATAACGGCGCTCCACATGCTTCACTGGCATGTAAAAGTTCGCAGGCTGCAGTGATAGCACCTCCACGTGACCTACCTGGAGGGCAAGGAATGCACTCTGCCATCAAAGCTGTGTCATAGTGAAAGTTTTCAAGATGAGGAACAATTGTTCCTGTCGGGCAGGGTGCTCTGTAAGTCGTATTCCCGTCGGCAAAACCAGCTTCAGTCAGGGCGACGAAGAGAGCTTTTTGGTCTGTTGAAACACCCTCAGTTGCGTGTTGAGGTGAACTTGGAAATCACGAAAGAGACGAAAATAGAAATGCTAAGTTTTTATAGCACTTTCACCCACAGAGGTGAGGTTCTCGTGTAAAATCAGCCAAATTTCAAAATTTTCAAACTCGTGTCTCCGACTTTAGAATATGTTAAAAAATTTCCTTCAGTTATTATTTTTTTTGCAATATGCAGTTAGAACCTTTAAGAATATCAAAAACGCATCAAAAAATCAGAGAGCAGAGTTAAGAACATGATTATGATTCCTTTCAAGTGCTGGTGAACGTATCTGGTAAACTAAAAATCATTTCCTTACATATACGTTTTGATCCCGTTGTGTCCCTCAAATGCTTTCATATTTAGTTTTTCCATTTTAGTATTCATCAGATATCTAGAAAAAAAAGGGTGTTATTCTTTTCTACCCCACCAGCAGGTTCTCATTATCAGCTGTTCAGCACGTGTGTTTCTTTGCCCGCGGGTAAGTATGGGGCCTTGAACAACGTGAGCCCGCTAGAGGTCTGCCAAGGGGTTTAGTGCCAGACCCTGCAGGTAAACCCTTCCCAACTAGTCTCCAATCTCCCCGCCGGGGGAAAAACGTGCGTCGTGCACTGCTGAAATAACAGCCTGCTCACAGGCTAATTATCTTAAGGGTAGTTGTGCAAGTCATATTTTTTTTATAATTGTCGTTAAGCTGTCTGTAAAACCTAACTGACTAACTGACAAAGGACTTTACAATAAATTACAATGAAAAATAAAAAGCAAGCAACCAAAATTTTTTGTTTGGAGGGGTGGGAAGCTCTGAGAACCTATTAGAAAGGATAGTTGGGTGGGGGTGGGGTGGGGGTGTACCTGTTACTTAAGAAACGTTAATGATATCACTAACTTACAATATCCTCAGATCTGACTTCTGTATTGTAAACGCATTTTTTTGCAACTCTGTGATAGGATTGTTCGCCAGGTTTCTGAAAGGAAAACAAATTCAAATAAATGGTAGGCAGAAACGACTAGTTTGAAACTGGAATATGGATACAAAACATTCCATTCTCCATAATTCAGTATTGTCTCAATACGAGGCAAAGACCGAGGGCATGAAGGATGAGAAAACAAAGGTTAGGCAGAGCGGAGCCTAAAAGTCCCGTCCCAGCCCCTACTCATCCCGATTCGCGGAGATACAGACTGCAAGTGGTCCGCTTTCTTATACAGAGTTCAGGACAAAGGTCAAACAGTGACGGGGAATCAAAGCGAGAAAAGGTGAAACAGACAGGAACAGAAATTCAGACATAGAGAAATCGACACAGTTTGTTTGACACTTTGATAATTACTTATATCAGACGCATTTAACCTAGGAAGGTTTTGCATGTCTGTGCTTAAGTTTAAATTTACAGCTGAGAACTTACATCAGCCTTAACGAAGAAAGGCTCTTGAAAGTGCCTGAATTCACACTTGCAATATTGTTATCGCTTAGAAATCTGTTGATGAAGTCATGAAAAATAATTGTAATTATCATAAAATCCCTATAAGTGGTCACCAGCTGGTCTCTAGCTGTAGTTGAATTTTGATATTGATTTATTTTGAGATGTCCTAAATGGAGGCCTCCATCTCCAACGCATTCTTCGAAAAACTGACTTCCGAAATTCTCTAATAAGGGCCCCTTGAATCCAAGCCCAAAACTGATTGCGACTGAAATGTAAAGCGACTTTTTTTGCGCGCGAACTGTTTTATCAAGTTCTTCATTTATTCGTTCAATCCGTTTCTTGTATGTTATTATTATCCTTTCTATCCTATTAGGTACACTAGTTATCCTTTCTGTCCTATCAAAGAAATATGACAAGAAAATATTGTGATGTGACCAGTTATCAACAGATTTACTTACAAATATTTCAGGGACGTTAGACTTTCGAGCACGCCGCTGGACAAAGACGAGATGTAGTTGTTTGACAGAAACCTGTTAACGAAAGAAACAAAATGTTCATATTTCAGTAAGGTTGATGGAAAAATATTTTTTGTCCGGGCTTCTCCAAGCATCCAGTAGCCGTAAAATGAGGAAAAGAGAAGAAATTTCACCCTTTTTAAGTATTCCAAAAAAAGAAAAAACACTTGACCAGAAACCCTATGACACGATCTGCAATCTCAGGTGATGGGTTTATGTTATTAGTACTTTTAGAGCGCTTTTTGATTGGGTGTCGTAAAACTAAAACCACAAAACCACCTAAAATCACAACAGCTAATCAGAGGAGAAGTAAATAACCAAATGAGAACTCAAAGTTAAAAAAAAAAAAAAGAAAAACAACAGCCAAACTACCTATAGCGCGGAAACGCAAGCGACCAAGTCGTGATTGGTTGCAGTTTTGCTTCTGATTGGTCAAGAGGGCGGCGCGAGTTTTCGGAATCAGTCAGAGAGCGAAGTAAAGGTAATCCGGTGCAATCCGAGTTTACTTTTGTCACTCAATTGGAAACTGCTCTAAGAACAAATACTCACAAAATGACAAGAGAACTCTCGAGTCCGGAAAATGATCCGTCTTCAAATTCAACGATCTCATTTCTGGCTAAGAATCTGCGAGAGGTATAAGAACGGAAATTGAATAAGCATATTTCCTCCAGTACTCTTTAGCGAAGAAGGCTTTCAAAAAGGGTTTGAAGAGCCGAGCCTTTTTTAAAAAAAGTGTTTGCATTGAATTAAAGCTGTGAATTGCAAATACAAGATAAACCGCATTTCAAACTCTATAAGAAGGCGGCTAAGTAATAACAGAAAAATGCTACATGACGGTGTAATTGACTTAAAAATGTTACAGCCAGGATGGTGCAATTGACTTACAACTCTTCCAAGTTAGAATTATCCCGAAACGTTCCATTTTTCAGTTGAGTAATCCGATTCTTTGATAAATACCTACGAAACGAACATTCTAAAATTAATTTGTCACGCGACACCTTAGGACTCAAAATATTGTCCTTTCAAATGGAGAAGTATGTTTAATGAAGTTAATTTAAAGAAAAGCAGGTACATTTTTGTGACTTTGAATGGTGAATTCTAGATTTATTGATAGATCAACTAACAATTTTTGAACGAGCTTCAAGGACGCAAACGCTGACATTTGTAGTGCCTCTATCATGTTATCTGAAAGACAGCTGTGCAAAAGCAAAAATTGTTAGACTTTGAATTTCTCAGCTTGATTTTTCGAATCAATGAACAAGAGCTTGATTGACTTACATTTCTGTTACGCCTGCCGGAATTTCATGTGGAACAGAGCTTAAGTTTGAAGATTTACAATCCACTTTAAATACACCAGTTTCAGAGACGCATCTACAAGACTTAGGACATTCTGTAAACCAAGCAAGATTAGTGAATTAAAATATATTGATGAAACATCACAAGCAAAAAAAAAAATCAAGAAAATCACCAATCAACATGGGGGTTAATTAACCGGTTACACCCTGACATCATTTTCCATATTCTCCATACTGTTCTCTATACATTTCCAAAGTTGCTGACGAGGAGAATTTGTTTAACAATCAAGAGCTTCTTCTGCTGGTGATCATTTCCTTTATTCTCCTCACCTTAACGTATGTTTTGTTAATGTATGATTGATAATGTATGATTGATAATGTTTGATTGATAATGTATGGTTGATAATGTTGAAGGAGAAATTGGATGTTAGGTACCGTTAGGGGACGTAGGGTTTAAAAGTCAGACATTTCTGTCTCTGCTTTAATTTAAAAAACTGCACAGGATTTAAGACTTAACCCTTATGTTCTTACGAGTAACCTACGCTAAAAAAGTTCGATTTAGGACAGCGCAACACAGTGGTCCAACACTGCGCATGCATGTGAGTTTGAATTTACGAACGCAAAGCGTGTCTAGCGTTAATTGGTTGAAGGTAAAGATTAAATTCGTTATTATTCCGGTGCGCATGAGCAAGACAAGTGAAAAAAAGGATTTTGGAGAAAGATTAAATCTTTGTATTATTTTATTGTGAGATATCCCGACTGTTTTTGACGCGGACTCTTCGTCTCGGCGATGAAGGCAAATGACAGAACCTTTTTTATACTCTAGCTGCACAGTCTAATGTCCGCCATAAACGTAGACCTCCTATCGTCCTAAATATCTTGTGTGGCTCTGGATCTTCCTTTTTTCACACATTTCCCGGCAACTCCACAAGGAACACGACAAAGAATAATTACTGCCAGCACGGCTAAGCTTACGAACGACTTCATCCGCAGGCTGCCGGGCAGTGTAAAAAAAGTACGAGAGTGTAAACTAGCACAATGTGGGCAAAGTCTAGAACAACAATGTTCATATGACTGGGCCTGAAAAACTTCGAACTCTCCTTAAAAACTGTGAAAAACTACGTCTCACTTAGATTCTCCAAGTTAACAGTTGCAAATTATCCATCTAAGAGCGCATGTGCAATCATTTGACCACTATGTTGGACAGCGCCGTTTTTAATATATTGCTTAGCAGCCTGACCGCTAACTTGCGACAAAAAAATTTACAAGTTCGTTTTCTCTCTCTTGGCGATCTGCTCGAGCAATTAGGAGCTGTATTAAAAGTCATTCTCGACTCAGGTTGTGACATTTATATATTTTTTGCGATATCCAGGGAAGTAACTGGCCATGAACCGTGTAGTGGTTTCGTGTGTGTGGCCAAGTTACTCTGCTGTTTTCACAACTGTGCCTTATGGGCTATTGGACCCCTGTCACGTGTCACTGATGCAATGTATTCCTTATCTTGGGAAATCTTGTCATCATTATGGCCCCAATTGTCTTTTTCTTGTCTCAGATTAACGCAAAGTTATTCTAAAAAAGGCAAAAATTCAATGCCCACCTGCAACGTCAACGTTGGTCGTGGCAACATCAGGGTCGTTTTGTGAGTTGTTAGCTCTACAGGTGTACACACCTTCATCGAGAAATGAAACATTTTTTAGCTCGAAAGCTGCAGTTCTTGAACCTTTAACCAACACTTTTCCGTTTCGTATCCAAATCACATCAGCAGCTGGGACGCCTTTTGACCAACAGTTTAGTTTTACGTCTGCACCAATAGGTACTGACTGTGATTCGCTGATAAACATAATACTGGCAGGCACTGGTTATTTGGAGTCAACGAAAGAAAAAAAAAATCTATATGTTTTAGGAAAGACTTATCAACAAATGGTCACCCAAGGCTCCCACTAATGCGCATTTGTCCAAAAACGCTTACTTTTCGCTGCGTAGCGAAAACTGGAGCTTTTTAAAGTGATTACGAAAATGCGTCACCTACTGTTGTTTCCATCTGCGTTTTTGGATGTTTTTGTATGGACCGTAGACGAATACGCGGTAGCGTAAACAGTTGCGAGTAAAATGAAAACGCTAGTGTGAGTGAAGATAGTTTTCTTCATTTTGCGTGAGACAAAAAAAAAAAAACACTTTTGCAAAGGCACTAGTGTGGACGGGGCCTAATTACGAATGTAATTATCATGTGGCATGACATTTTGGGGTTTATCATTTTTGCGTAGTTTTTGCATTGCTTTCGAGTTACCTCAGGCAAAAAGATTAGGGCAAATAGAACGCCACAAAAATTTACCGCCTTCAATCAAGAGAATATAAACTATGGTTTGTATTCTTTTACTTCAATCCAATATTCAGACTCTAGAGGAATTGGCAGGGGGTAGAACAAGCTTTTTGTGTGGCTTTGTTGTCGTTGTGTAAACATCTGGGAGACAAGTTAATACATTTGGGGATTTCACATAATTTGGTGAAGTAAATAGTGCTGTAACTTTTTAAGACATCCAAGTTGAAAAGTGTTGAAATTAAAAGATTTTCCCAATCCCTCCCTTGCTATAGTTTTGCTGCTTGAACAGAAAATTGCAGAAGACAAATCTAAAAAAAAAAAAATTTGGCCATCGCCAACTCGAAAACTGTATTTCTGCAAAACACAAAAAACTACCTATTCGTAAAGTAAAAAAGCCATAAAATATAATAATAAAAAGGTTTTTGTGATTAAAAAGATTGGACGACCATTTCGAATTTCCCATTATTGTGGTAAATGTGCATTTTTCCCTTTACGCAAATCAACAATGTCAGATAGGAATCGATACGACATAAAGCTGTAAGATTATGCTAATAAACTAGCTCGAAGAAAGTACTACTTTCTTCTAATATAACAGTCCTTCCGTCCAATCACTTGCCTTAAAGTCGTTGAAAAAAAAATTACAGCCTCAGAAATTAAAGTGCTTTATTTGTATTACTCTGTTTATGATTTTTCCCGAGAGAGTTTTCGCACAGGTTTTAAAAATCATCTGATAAGTTTTAATTTGTGGGAAGTGCTACCCACCCTTTCATGCTTTGCGGACCTATTTTTATCTAAAAGCAGAAAATTCGTCCGTCATTCGCATTCACTTTTCTAAACATATGACAAGAGAGAAATTTTTCTTAATGAAATACTGATATTCAGGATGAGAAAGTAAAAAAAAAAACAAAAAGATATCATGAAAATATAATGTACTCACCTTTGGAGTTCGTGAACTCGATAGATACATTGAAGCCTCCAAATTGCATGGAGTAATCACTGGTAAATATAACAGTCATCTTGGAAGTGGTGGATTGTAACGGAGGTGGGTTAACAACGCCACAGAATGATCCTAACAGTGTTTTATTAGACCCTGCGTTGTCATAAACTTTAACGCTGTCGAAACCACAAGACGAATGGTACTCCACCCTGAATGCTTGAAACTTCAGCTTGATGAAATGGTATTGCTCTGAGAAGTTTTCCGGAATCTGGATTGTCCATAGACAATCGGCGTTCGCGGGATAGTTATACGGGAAGTTGGGGGAATGGAATGAACCTTCTTCTGTCAGTGTTTGAGGTTCACATTTGTAGAACGGATATGTTTTGACTGAAACAGCAAAAATGCCTTAAGCCTCTTCGTATGAGCCTGGGCTGTTCAAGATTCCGAGTTCTTATCTCACAGCTTTTGGAACTATTTATTATTTTTGTTTCAGGATAATGATAACGATAACGGTAACGAAAACAATAACGGTAATGATAACGACGATGATACGACAAAGACGACGATGATGATGATGATGACGATAACGATTACACTAACGACCGCGAACACGCGACGGAAACGATAACAATAGCGAGAGCGATAATGGTAACGATAACGATAATGGAAGCGAAAATGATAATAGTTATGATAACTATAACGATTACGATAACGATAACGGTAACGACAACAATAACGGAAACAGAAACTATAATGATAAAGATAACGAAACGGTAACGAAAACGGAAACGGAAACGATATTGAAATCGATGATGATAACGATATATACAATGATAATGATCGCAGTCATGATAATGCTGATCAGCGGTAACTGATGATCGATGACACTGACGACACTGACAGTAATAATGAAAATGATAATGGTAATGAACCTGATAATGATGATGATCCCGATAAATAAATAAATAAATAAATAATCAGTTTATTTAACCCTTTGGTAATGTTAAACACTAAATTACAAGAGATAATTCTACACAGAACACAATACACTTGGCATAACAAGATAAAAACAATTAAGCCCTATTGTAACTGTGAGTAACGAACTTACTAAGGCGGTCTGTTCTGACGAAGTGGAATTGAGAACAGGAAAAACTGGACCTCAACCCGTACCCATGAGCGACATTCGTGGGCTGTGGCAGCTGGTGTGCAAGAAAGCCGGACTTCTTGATGTTAGATATAAAACGCCTGCAAGCCTCATCACGGCGCGCCAACAGAGTAGGCAAGCCACAGCTCACGAGTGCAGACTCATAAGAGCAATCTGGAAATATGATTCTCAGTGCAGACATCTGAACGCTTTCCACCAACTGAACCAGACCGGCGGTTAACGCGGCCTACTCTGGAGATGCAAATTCTTAAATGGGCCGTACCAGGCTACAATAAACCTGAATAATATCTGTTGGTGGGAGGACTGATTTCCTTAAGACTCGTAACGCATAGAGCCGCTTGCGTGCTTTCTTCACAGTATAGTCGCAGTGAATAGACCATGACAAACTGTGTGACAGATGGACACCGAGTAACTTATAAGATGACATCTGCTCAATAACACTGCCTGACATCTGTAATGGGGGTGGATGGCGAAGGCGATGGTGATAATGATAACGATAACAAAAATCCGACCGAATGACACCTCGGCAAGTAGCCAATCAAAGAGCGTGTTATATCGATAACAAATCTGACTAGCCAAATGAGAATTAACTCAGTGCATGGTACTTTCTTTCAGTAGGTTACTTATTTTTATCTCACCTTTATACACCAGAGTCGTCCCTGGTGACGTTGTCAATCGCGGTGTCGTTGAACCTCCTGAAAACCAAAACATAGATAGATAGATAGATAGATAGATAGATAAATAGATAGATAGTTTATTCTGATTAAAATCGCAGCCAAAAGCTGAATTAGATTAATCATTACAATAGTAAAATCTGCTAAAAGTATGAAAAAATATAAGAAAAATGTACACAAATTAACTACAATTACTATATATAAATATGTTCATAAGTCTCTTCTTCTTAGCCAGAGGAACATTAAATTTCCTCTTTCGTCTCAAATTGAGTTCAAAATTATTATGAGGAGGCAAGAGCTTATACAATTTATGGTCTGAGTAGATAGTCAATGTTCCCGTATCTGCCGGATTCTGTACGACAATGACAAACAAATTGACAGAATTGGTTATGATATATATATATATATATATATGGCTCTTTGGTATACAAAGCTCTGCTTTCATGTCCAAATTGAGCACTGTGGGATGAGTCATCGCCGCTAGCATTGTGCATAGCTCACTAGGCTCTTCTAGTTTGAGCACTCTGGCGTGGCTTAGACGATACCACAAATGTGGATCGTTTGGGGATCCATATCGTTTCTCCCCCATCCTAGCATTAGCACTGCACTGATGAGGCCCAGAAGGCCGAAACAGTACTGTCTACAGTTGTATATATATATATATATATATATAAAACAAGTTAAAAGGCCTCGAGCCAACAGTGACGCCTCGCCAGAAGGATCCAAAAGAATTAACAGTCCAAACCTCGATAAATAACAGTAAAAATATTGTAGTACACGAGGACGGACAACTTCGAGCTAAGAAAGACATATACTCAAATAAAAAGTCTAAGAAAGTTTAATAAAATACGTTTCGGTCCGAGGCCTTCATCAGTTCTTCATTAGAACTTTTTATAACTGAATAAAAAAATAAAAAAAGGAGAAAAAAAAAAAAAAAAAAAAAAAAAAAA